CAAGAAAAAAGCAAAACACAAACACAAAACAAAAAAAAAAAAAAAAAAAAAAAAAAAAAGTAACTCAACAGTGCAACATAACAAAACAAATAGCATTCTAACAGTTTGGCAAGTGATGAGTTCACCTGAGATTAAGTGATTTTTAGGCAGTCTGTAACAAAATGCTGCTTTGTGATAATAGTAGAAAGGCAACAAATTTTTAAAAGAAGTGAAGGTATACAACCCTGACAGTCTTGTATTAAGTTTCCTTCTAGTATCACCCTCCTACCCCCACATCTCTGTTGCTTATCTACTATAGTAGGCTGCAAAACATACAGCAAGGAGGATTGGCTTGAAGGCATTTGATATTTGTAAATAAATCCACAAGAGGGTCCAAGCTGAAGAAGTGATACATGATCAGCCTATTAGGACAATTCTGAGCATGTGCATATGCAGGTAAAGTCCAGGCTACATTAAATTAAACACACACACACACACACCCACACACACCCACCCCACAAAAACCACCCTCAGTGCATTTGTTAAGTCTGTCGTCGCCATTGTTTGTTTTCCGTCAAAGCTTTCTTTTGCTCCTTGTTGTGCAGGCCACGAACAAGAGGGAATAACAACAGTCAGGCATAAATGAGAGAAAGCTGTAGTGACACTGAACTGCACAACATAAGCAATGAGCATGTGCAAATTTTAAAATCATTATAGGAAACCATCCCTCTCTTACAACGTGGCAAGTGTTTGGCACACATGACTAGCAAGCTAGTAAGGCTGCTCCTAGTATGTACCACTATTTAAGAGGAGGGAAAAAAGCTCAGATCTTCAAGCATGTGGAGCGGTCCTATGATGTTGCTGTAGGCTTCTAAGCATGATCACAGGTTGTTTTCATTTGCTCACCATCCAGGTGAGACCACCACCACTTTCCTTGGAAATTGGGTCTCCACTACGACACCTCAATCTTCAACATGGTAAGCACGATTCAAAACCCAAGTCGAGTCAGCTTAGCATGGATTCCTTCAGCGAGAGGGGCAGGATGGTCTGTCATCTGTGGGCTGATCTGGGTTGGGGTCAATCTAATGAAAAAAGGAAAAGAGGGGGGAGGATTTTAAGATTCAGATGTTAGAAATCAGAATTTACATGTTTAAGCAAATTATAATGATACATGGTATTCCCAATCCAAAGGTTATTAAACCAAACACCAAAGCTCTGGTCACTGAAACATAGCTTTGGATAAAATGAACAGAGTATGTACTTAATACATATTAAAAAAATAAGTTGAAGGCTTTAACTAAAGGTTTGAAAGTTTTAACTAGAGATTTTTAACAACTTAATTCTTTGTGCTTAATATCAAACACACACACACACACACACACACACACCCTCCCCCATTTACCACTAGGGAAGTCTTTTGAATCATCTGACATATATCAGAAAGATGACACATTACTAAACATGTCATCTAAGAAACATTTAGAGATATTGAAGTTTTGCTTGAAAAGGCAGAAAATAATCAAAAAAGTAATTCTACTTTAAAAACAGTTAAGCCTCAATATGTTATAAGATGTTTCAAAAGCTCATGCGTTCTTAGACCTTACTTTCTTCCTTTCCCCAAAGGAATAAAGGGAAAACAACCTGCTAGCTCAGGTGTCTCAGACTGGACAATAAGAATAGTTTTACATAGTTTCATCGGGAATAGCATGCAAAGGATTCTCATCTCATTTCATAGTGTTAGTTTTTAAAGGGGGGAGTGCACATGTGTGAGGGGCTCTTGACTTAAAGTGAGTATTCAGGCAGAATTTAACCAAAGGGGACTTTGGCTGTACCAACAAGGGGACTTGTTCTGCACCACTGCTACTTCTTGGAAAAAGAAACAAAAACACACACACCCACCCACCCCCCACACCCCCACCACACAAAAAAACAAACCCAAACAAAACCCAAACAAAACCACAACTTGATGTCTTACAGGCGCACACCACAGCACTTTAAGACCGC